ACAGTTCACTGTAGAAATATAATCTTTCCACGAACTGGTGGCAGGGGATGGTAACAGAGTGGAGTCTAGCTAAGGAATGAAAACCATTCATTATTCTAAATTCAATACTAATTAAATAAATATATAATATGTATTATATATAAAGTAGTTAAGAGACCCTAGAGATCCAAATATGAATGATACTCTATCTGCTTAGTTTTGAGCACAGTCTAGTAAGAAAACATAATCCTACTGAAAATGTCACTTGGTGTGAGAGAGAACAGAATTAAAGAAGAATTTCAGAGACAATGGGAGCAGATATAAAGAAGGAAGCAAATACAAGCTGAAATCTCTGATAAGGTAACGCCTACGGATGTCATAAAAAGAAAAAGAAATGTGACATTTTAGAACTGAAAATAGCTAAATTATGCTCCTACTTCTGTAACAGGTCCTGAATCTCCTACATGCACAAATGCATTAACTTCCCTTCCACAAAAATCTATCCCAATGCAATAGTTGTCAACATAAATACTTAATGTCCATCTCAGTCACTACTGTCCTATAATAATGTCCAGCAGTCAATCAAACATTGTAAGATATACCCAAAAAGTAAGGAAGGCAAGGATGAAGGGAAGACAAAACAATCAAGAACCAAAGAGATACATAACCCAGATGCTGGCACTTCAGGTTAGTAATTTTTTAAAGATTTTTATTTATTTATGCATACAAGAGCTGGGATACAGGCCAGAGATGTGGGGGGTGAGAGGATCCACCAGAGACAGAGTGGGGAACAGAACAGGCAGACAGACTGAAATACACTGCTGAGGGGAGCAGTGGGAGAGACAGGAGAAGTCTACTCCGCCATGTGGGTTTCTCTCTGGCTGGCTGGGGATCGAACTCGTGCTGCAGAGGCTGCGGATTGCTTCATAGTGCGGTGCTTAACCCCTGGCACCACCAGGGAGGCCCCAGGCAAGGAATTTAAAAATAAAAATAATTAACATGTAAAATATAATTTAGTAGATTACGTGCAAAACAAATGGTAAATTTCAACAAAAAAAGATAAAATATGTAAGAAAGAGCCTTTGAGAAGCTCACCAGAACACTCAACGTAATCAAGATAGGACTTAATAAAGTTGAAGATAGATCATCAAAAATCACCCAAACTGAAACCCAAAGAGAAACTGTTGGAGGAGGAGGGAGAGGGGATGACAGAAAGAAAATAGAAGAACTGTGGGATCAAATGATCAAATGATAACTTGTAAATGTAACTGAAGTCCCAGACTGGGAAAGAAGGGAACAAGATAGAAACAATATTTGCAGGAAAAATGGCTGAGATTTTTCCAAAAATAAAGTCATCAAACCACAGATTCAAGAAGCTCAGAGAACCCTATATAAAAATATATACAACCAAGTAAACAAATACATTAATACAATAAAGAACACACAGCTGGAAACTTTACAGCTAAACTGCTAACAAAGTTAAGGACAAAATCTAAAATACAACCAAAGAAAGATACTACCTTGTAAGGGGAATAAATTGAAATTTCAGCAAACTTATCAGAATTCATACACTTCAGAAGATAACTTAACATATTTTAGGTACCAAAGGGAAAAAAAGACTTCACAACCCAGAATTGTAGAGTCAGCAAAAATATCTCTCAAAAATGAAGAGAAAATAATGGCTTTTCAAACAAAAAGCTGAGGTAATTCAGTGTCAACATACCCGCACTACAAGAAATGGTAAGGCAAGTATAATGTATGATACAGACAAAAGTAAGAATCTATACCAAAAAAGTGAATGGCTCCAGAAATGATAAAAATTGAAGTAAATACAAAAGACTTTCCCCCATATTTTTATTTATTTTTTTTTAATAGAGGCATGCTTTTATTTTATTTATTTGTTTGTTTGTTTGTTTTGTTTATACATGCACTGGGTACAGTCAGAAGCACGGGAGGGTGAGAGAATTCACCAGAGCCAGAGCGGGGAGCAGAGCAGGCAGAAGGACCGAAGTACACTGCTGAGGGGAGCAGCGGGCGGCAGGAGAGGTCTGCGCACCATGTGGGACCCTCCTTTGGTGGCCGGGGAGCAGCCGGGGATCGAACCGGCGCCGCAGAGGCCGCGGGCAGCTTCGCAACCCAGCGCTCAACCGCTGCGCCACCGGGGAGGCCCCTCCCCCATATTTTTAATCACCCTAAAAGATAACTGTCTAAAGTAAACAGCAACACTGAATTGTGGAGTTTATAATATATGTAAAAGTAAAATATATGACAATATCAAACAAGATGGAAGGAAAAAAACTAAGTATACTGTGTTGTTTGGACCTGTATGTGAAATGTAAAGTAATATGGTATGTGAAGGTAGCCTGCGATGTATATTTTAAGTGCTAAGGCTAAAATACTGAATGATTTTAAAGAGGTATAACTAACATACCAATAGAGGAGATAAAATTAAAACCCTCAACCTAAAAGGAGAAATAAAAAGAGGAGGAAACATCAGATAGGACAGACAGAAAACAACCAGCAAAATGTTAGCTTTAAATATAATCATCAGGGCCTCCCTGGTGGCGCAAGGGGTTGAGCGCCGCACTATGAAGCAATCCGCAGTCTCTGCATCATGAGTTCGATCTCCGGCTGGCCAGGGAGAAACCTACATGGCGAGGCAGACCTCTCCTGTCTCTCCTGCTGCTCCCCTCAGCAGTGTATTTTGGTCGGTCTGTCTGTTCTGTTCCCCGCTCTGTCTCTGGTGGATCCTCTCACCAAATCTCTGGCCTGTGCCCTAGCTCTTATATGCATAAATAAATAAATCTTAAAAAAAAAAATAAATCTAATAATCAATAATTACACGAAATGTAAATGGTCAACAATCCCGATTAAAAGGCAGATTATCACAAGTCCCAGTTAACATAATTTTTATATGAAATCCACTTTATAAACAGGTTAAAAGTAAAATGAAAAAGCTATACCATATAACTATTAAAAAAGACTACACCAATATCAGATAAAATATACTACATTAGAAGGACTATTAAAACACATAAAGCCATTCACATAATGAAAAAGGTTAATTCATCAATAAGATGTAATATTTAATATGTATGCACCTGACAACAGTGCTTCAAAGCACAAGAAGCAAATACTGGCAGAACTGATTGAAGATATAGATTTATAATTACAATTGGAGACAACACTCCTCTTTCAGTAATCCATTAAACAAGACCAAAATCCTGTAGGCTATAGAAGATATGAATAACACCATAAACCAACTTGACCTAATTAATATTTACAGAACATACCACCCAACAGACCTTTTCTACCGCATCCGCTGCTCCCCTCAGCAGTGCATTTCGTCGGTCTGCCTGTTCTGTTCCCCACTCTGGCTCTGGTGAATTCTCTCACCCTCCCGCGCTTCTGACTGTACCCAGTGCTTGTATAAAAAAATCTTTGAGAAAAAAAAAAAAAAAACTGAAATTATACCAAAGTCTATTCTCTGACTATAAAGGAATTAAATTTAAAATCATTAACAGAAAAAAACCTGGTAACTCCACAAAATTTGGAAATAAAACACACTTCTAAATAACCCATGGATTAAAAAATAAATAAAAGGGGATATTAGTAAATACTTTGAATTGAATGAACATCAAAATGTAACATGAAATATATAGTATGCAGCTTTAGCAGTGCGCAAAACTTACAGCATTAAAAGCTTACATTAGAAATAAAGATAGACCTCAGATCAATTAAGTATCCACTTAAACTAAAAAGGGAGACCAAATCATACTCAAAGTAAGTAGAAGGAAGGAAAATCATAAAGAACAAAAATCAATGAAATTGAGACAAAAATAATAGAGAAAAATTAATGAAACCAAAAGCCTATTCTTTGGGAAGACAGGTAAAATTGATAAGCCTCTAGAAAGAGTGATCAAGAAAAAACAGAAATGACCCATATCAGCACTCAACAAAGAGACATCACTAGCATACCACATTAAAATAAGAGGATAATTTAATCTTGCCTGTAAACTTGGAAAACCTGGGCAAACTGAATAAATTTCTCCAAAGACACATATATCTAAGATCACAAAAGAAGAAACAGAGAACTTGAACAGTCCTTCACCATTAATCATGGTGAAAAATACAGTTAAAAACTTTCCAACAAAGCAAACTACAAATTCAGACAGCTTTAATGGCAAATTTTACCAAACAGACTTTTACATATACTTATGCAGAAAACATTTCACAAGACCAGCATTACCCTGACACAAAGTCTAGTAACAGCAATATAAGAAACCACAAGTCACATTGCCGTCAGTGACAACCTCCCCAGCTGCTTCTTGCAAAGGATCGCCTGCATCCCTCTCCAGAAGAGAAGAGGAAGCACAAAAAGTGCCTGGTGCAGAGCCCCAATTCCTATTTCATGGATGTGAATGCTCAGGATGTTATAAAATCACCACAGTCGTTAGCTGTGCACAAACTGTAGTACTATGTGTTAGGGGCTCGCTCCACTGTCCTCTGCCAGGCTATAGGAGGAAAAAGCAAGACTTCCAGAAGGATGCTCCTTCAGACAGAAGCAGCACTTAAAAATACCCTGAATCAAGAAACTATCCCAATAAACACATCTGGATTAAAAAGATCAAAACCAAACAGCAAGGGGCCTCCCTGGTGGTTTCCCACAGCCTCTACAGCACTAGTTGGATTCCCCAGCTGACCAGGGAGCTACCCACATGGTGCACGCTGCTCCCCTCACCCCCACTGCTCCCCTCAGCAGTGTATTTCAGTCAGTCTGCCTGTTCTGTTTCCCACTCTGTCTCTGGTGAATGCTCTCACACCCCCTCCACAACTTTGGCCTGTACCCCAGCTCTTGTATGCATAAATAAATAAATCTATTTTAAAAAAAAATCAGGGGCCTCCCCGGTGGCGCAGCGGTTGGGCGCTGGGTTGCGAGGCTGCCCGCAGCCTCTGCAGCACCGGTTCGATCCCCGGCTGCTCCCCGGCCACCGGAGAAGGGTCCCACGTGGCGCGCAGACCTCTCCTGCCACCTGCTGCTCCCCTCAGCAGTGTACTTCGGTCCTTCTGCCTGCTCTGCTCCCCGCTCTGGCTCTGGTGAATTCTCTCGCTCTCCCGCGCTTCTGACTGTACCCAGTGCATGTATAAACAAAAAACAAAACAAAACAAACAAATAAATAAATAAATAACATGCCTTAAAAAAAAAAAAAATCAAGAACAAAATCTATAACAAAATACTAGTAAACTGAATCCAGCAACATATAAAAAGGATAATATACTACAACCAAGTGGGATTTTTTCTGGGTATATAAAAGGAATTCAACATGCAAAAACTACTTAATGGGGCCTCCCTGGTGGCACAAGGGGTTAAGATGCAACCTATGAAGATATCGTAGCACGAGTTCAATTCCCGCCAGGGAGCAACCCACATGGCACAGCAGACCTCTCCTGTCTTACCTGCTGGTCTCCTCAGCAGTGTATTTCGGTCAGTCTGCCTGTGCTGTTCCCCACTCCGTCTCTGGTGAATCCTCTCACCCCCCCAACACCTCTGGCCTGTACCCCAGTTCTTGTATGAATAAATAAATCTTTTTTAAAAATCAGTTTATGTATCAATACTACAGAAAAAAACCACAATCTCTACAGATTACAAAATGTATCTGACAAAATCCAACATCTATCTAAGCAAAACATAAACACTCTCAGCAAACTAGGAATAAAAAGAAACTTCCTCCACCTGATAAAAAGCATTGACAAAAACACTACAGATAATGAGACTATATTATGTTCCCTTAAACTAATGAACAAAGATACCTAATCTTATCATATCTACTAAACATGATACTGGGATCCTAGCCAGTTCAATAAGACAAGAAAAATAAACAGCAGGCATACAGATTAAGCCAGAAGAAATAAAATTATCTTTATTTGCTCTTGATATAGTATCAATGTAGAAAATCCCAAAGAATCTACAAAAAATTAAATTGTTATCATAGGATATAGTATCCATATTCAAAAGTCAATTATAGTTCTATAAACAAGAAACTTTAAAAAAAAATGAACCATTTATAATAGCACCCAGAACATGAAATATTTGAGAAGTCTAAATTAAGTACAAACTTAGTCTACGTCCAGTATTAATGGGGATGTTCTGAGTAATGAGTTGTTGTGCAATTACATAATTTTGTGCCAACAGCATAGTGTATACTTTTACAAACCTACACTGACACAAGTTACTATACACCTAGGCTACACAGAGGGATTGCCATGCATACATGGTGCCTCTCTGACAGAAATGTTACATGGCTGTAGGGTAAATGGTTTTCAGGCTTTTCTGCCCTCCCACCATTAGGATTGTGTGCCTGATGGTGAGCACCTGCATTTGTTAAATTGTTATAAGTCGTGTTGTTTACTTCTGTGGGCAATGACTGCAGTATTGAGATATTCCCCAAGAGGAGCAAAGGCAGGAGAGAGAAGAGGAGAACGAAAGCCAGAGAACCCAGAGTGAAGACTTGCCAGGGGCTGGGAGGCCTGCTGGCCTCCTGGCGCCCACCCCCAGTACCCCTGGCTGCTCTGTACCCAGTTGTTGCACTACATATAAAAGCTCAATAAAAGCCTGAGAAAGCCACGGAGGGCTGCAGGACTCTCCTTTACCTGGTCTGCTCGGATCATAAAGAACCAGCCTTGTGACCATCCTGTCCCTACAGCAGCACATGACTAGCCTTTCTTTAAATAAAGATTTATTTATTTATACAAGAACTGGGGTACAGGTCAGAGGCGCGGGAGGGTGAGAGGATTCACCAGAGACAACGGGGAGCAGAACTGGCAGGCGGACCAAAGACACTGCTGAGGGGAGCAGAGGCAAGACAGGAGAGGTCCCCTGCACCATATGGATTTCTCTCTAGCCGGCCAGGAATTGAACCTGCTCTGCAGAGGCTGCGGACAGCTTCACAGTGGGGCGCTCAACCCGCTGCGCCACTGGAAAGGCCCTAGAAACCAGATTTAACTTGACTGGTCTCTTACCCTACACAGGAAAGCTATGGCTCAAACAAAAAGCCTAAAATGTCAAACTTCTCTTGAGTTCCTGGACAGTGCCGGGCAAGTCAGTTTTCCTTGTAAAGTCTTTTTTCTCACATTTTACAATGAAAGAGGTTCATCCTGAGAGATCGTGCTATAACACTGGTATCATGGAACTGGGGAAGAAACACAGAATGCATCCCCAGAAAATTAAAAGCTTACAAAAGTCAAATTAAAAGCTTCCCCTCTAAGCTGCCCGCGGCCTCTGTGGCGCCGGTTCGATCCCCGGCTGCTCCCCGGCCACCGGAGGAGGGTCCCACATGGCGTGCAGACCTCTCCTGCCGCCCGCTGCTCCCCTCAGCAGTGTACTTCGGTCCTTCTGCCTGCTCTGCTCCCCGCTCTGGCTCTGGTGAATTCTCTCACCCTCCCGCGCTTCTGACTGTACCCAGTGCATGTATAAACAAAACAAAACAAACAAACCAGCAAACAAATAAATAAAGCATGCCTCTATAAAAAAAAAAAAAAAAAAAAAAAGCTTCCCCTCTAGTGAACTCATGAATGTGGAGGCCGACAAGCTTTAACACTCACTAAAATCCCCAAATGACATGCAACACCGTATAAAAGACCTGTCTTATCACTTAGCCTTCCACACAGTCACAGACTCTATTAATAAGGCAGTATTAGGTGCCCAGGTACTCAAGATGTCTCTCCTCCCATTACACCTCCAGAAACTTTTCATTTGACCACAGTGAGGTCCTAACCTAAGGACAGTCACTACCTAAACAGGTCAAGAACTGAGGACATATTTCTAGTGGGGAAAAAAAGAAATCTGCTGGACAAATCAATTTCCTTTCTAAATGGAACACAAATGCAAGTAGAAAGAAGAATGTATCAAGCAACAACAGAAGTAAAAGCTGAGAAGTCATGAAGTTGTGAGAGCCCTATGGGGCCTTGGACGTGGAAAAATTAAAAGGGAACATAATATATAGATAAGCAAAAGGTATTAAGTAGAGGAGAGAGCAACAGAGTAAGATGAGAAAGCCAATGGGTAGCAAGAGTAGGGTGAGGCAGACACACAGGGAGTCATGTAAAAGGCAGAGCCCGTTACTAAAATCCTAGAGCTGTCTTGGATCCAGCAGGATAGCTTTATTAGTCATCTATTACCACAATAAGGTTGTACAACAGACCACAAAAATATCAGTAGTGTACAGTAATAAGCATTTCATCCTCCCTCAGGCATCTGAGTTGGGTTGGCTCTGCTTTAAACTGCAGTTCTGCTCAGGTGGCTTATAGTCTCACATCCATAATGAAGAGGCTGCAGTTACTCAGGGTTTCTTATCAAGGTGATGACTAAGGCACAAGAGGACAAGCCCATCAGCACAAGCACACGGCTGACCTGTGCATGCATGTCCACTAATGTTCCACTGAGCCAAGGCAGGTTGTATGGCCAAGTCCAAAATCAAGGGGTAGGGGCATCATTCCCTTTTTAGCACAAGGTTATGACAAGACTATCAATATAAAATTCTACTCTAGGAAAGTGAAGAACTGGGGTCAATGAGTTATTTACACTACCCCATCCCACTTTATTGAACTAAGCTGGCTTAAATCTCTGCTTCTTACAACTAAAAGAGCCTATCAAAACCATGGAGATTAAGAAAATTCTCCAGAAACAGACACCTGTTATGCTGGGAGCTCCCACTCCCGAATGCAGTTACCTATGGGCTCCATCTCTCTCTTCTCCCCTTTAGATCACATACCACCTGAATTATGTGGTTGAAATATTTCTAAATAAAAGGGAGTAGGTGGGGGGGGGAAACGGGAACAGGCAACTCTTAAGACTTGAAACCTAAATAATGTTATGAAAGAATGTTACTTCAGTAAAAAAATTTTAAAACCACACACACAAAAACTCCCTCCCAAACGCAAAGCCAGGAAACATTATGCAGAAAATATGGCAGCAAGCATTCCAAGATTTTCACTTATGAAAGGTGCCAATAAAACACATAGACCAATCCTACCTAGGGAAATAAATTTCCAATCAGTTGGTTGTGGGGCCAATGTTCATATGTTCTTTATTTCCAAAGGTTCTGACATCATTTTCATCAAAAAACACTTTTCTGGAAAGTATTATGTACCTAGTTTGTGGAAAAAAGAAGAAAGTGATGAACCACACACACAAAAAGTTAACAGGATCAAATCTAAAGGTAGAATAGAACAAAATGGTAGAGACAGAATTAAAACAAAATAGGAAAATTTGTAAAGTTGAAATATTTAATTAGCTGGGGGTACAAGAGTACTGTCTATTGCCCTGAACAGAGTTTCTTTCAAAAAGTACAATTAAGACCATCCTGGCATGATGGAACTCATGGTCAACCATTCCACAACTAAGGAAACCAGCAACAAGACAAGGGAACTGCACCAGCATTAGAAGGGTTGCAACATGAAAAAACTTGGGCATGCTGTGACTTCCCAAGATCCCCTGTTTCACATTAAGTCAGGTCTAATATGGGTGGGTGTGAGCTAATACATCTCTTTCAACTCTGCATGGGTTCTCAATAAACAGCCTAGAAGCTTTCAAGTTCTAACTCCGGAAAAGAGTCCTGTAATAGGGAGTCTAGAGCACACAGGATTATTAAAAAAACATCATTACACTGAAAAACAAAAATGTCCAGTTCCCAGATAACTATCTATGCCAAGTTGCATCCGTACCACAAGATTCCAATGGAGATTAAAACCAAACTAATCTCTTCAAAATTCATAACAAGATTTCTCTTGGACGCCACTGAAACACTACCTTAATAAACGGCTATCCAAAAGGGCTTCTTCAGCGATCTCTTCTGCAGCGCATACACTGGACCCATATAGAGATTAGCATGGCCCATGCACAAGGACAATACAAACCTGCAAATTCCCGAAGCTGTTCTTTATTTTTGGTTGAGCACAAGGCACAGTGCATGACGTCACAGAGCCTCGCTGGGCCCGCCTCCCCCCTCCTCCGAGGTAGGAGACTGGACAGACCGCGCTCTGTCCTGCTTCCATGCGAGGTGCACCGCCCCGTGGCTGCCAGCAGCGTTGGTCTGGGCATTTGTGGAGGGACTGCTGCACGCAGTAGGGGGAAGGTTTCAAGAGCCAAGCTACATTTCATTCTTTTCTTTTCTTTTTTTTTTTTTTTTAAGATTTATTTATTTATTTACTTATACAAGCACTGGGTATAGTCAGAAGCGCGGGAGAGTGAAGAATTCACCAAAAACAGAGCGGGTTGCAGAACAGGCAGACTGACGAAGAAGTACACTGCTGAGGGGAGCAGCGGGCGGCAGGAGAGGTCTGTGTGCCATGTGGGACCCTGGCCGGCAGCCGGGGATTCAACCCACGCTGCAGAGGCTGCGGGCAGCTTTGCAACCCAGCGCTCAACCGCTGAGCCACCGGGGAGGCCCCATTTCATTCTTATTTCAGTTCACCCACCTGTAAGCCGTGGCCTCTCCAGCAGCAGGCAGCTTTTACTTCATTAAAAAAAAAAAATGAATGAATGAATGAATGAATGAGTGAGTGAATGAATGAATGAAAGCACTTCTTTCAAAGAGATTTCCTTAAAATAAAAAAAAAATAAATTCACAATAAAATCCTTCTACAGAAAACAATTTCCTCCCCCACCAAGAAAGAGGAGGGTTGAGGAGATGAGGAGAATGCCAGGTTGTCTATAAACGCCAGTTCAATAAAGAAAAGAGTTAAAAGAAAAGAGGGATAAAGTTTGTTCAGCACTGGAACAGATGAAGAATTGTGAAATTATCTTCCTTGTGATGTTTACCTGGCCTTTATAGTTTAGATTTCTTTCCTTTTTCAATCTTTACTAATTGATGAAATATTAGTCTTGACATGCAGTACTGACATGCTACCCAAGGCTCACAGGTTTATGTGTACACAGACGAGTCTCTGTGAACACAGATCCAGAGCTTTATGATCAAGTCCTGCACTCACAGACACACCAAACTTTGTGACACTGCTGCCCCCCTTGTCTTGGCCCTGTTCTGGCCCCTGCTTTTTCTAGGATGACAATCTTCACACACCCCAACTCTATCATGGCAGGTTCTAAAACATGGGTGTTATGAACTGATTTGTGTCTCCCCGAACCCTGAATATTTTCATGTTTAAGCCCTATTCCCCCCCCACCCCCCACCCCCAGCCAGTACTTCAGAATCTGAGTGTATTTGGAGGAAAAGCCTTTAAAGTGGTAGTTAGGTTAAAACGGGGTTACTGGAGTGGGCCCTCATCCATATGGTTTATGTCCTTTTAAAAAGCCATTGGGGGCCTCCCCTGGTGGCGCAGGCAGTTGAATGTGGCACTGTGAAGCTGTCCGTAGCCTCTGCAGCGCCGGTTCAATCCTGGCCGGCCAGCGAGGGTCCCACATGGCACGCAGACCTCTCCTGTCTCGCCTGCTGCTCCCCTCAGCAGTGTATTACATCAGTCTGCCTGTTCTGTTCCCCACTCTGTCTCTGGTGAATCCTCTCGCCCTCCTGCGCATCTGGCCTGTACCCCAGCTCTTGTATAAATAAATAAATCTTTAAAAAAATAAATAAAAAGCCATTAGGACACTGACACCAGTGAAAAGACTAGATGAGGACACAGTGAAACGAGCACTCAAGGACAGAAGCTGCAGAAGAACCCAAACCTGCCACCTTGATCTTGGATTTCTGACTTCCAGGATTATGAGAAATTTCCGATTAAGTCACCAAGTCTGTATTAGCACCGAAACTAACACAATGGGGAACACATTTTGCTAAAAATCCCAAAACTGAGGAGAGACAGAAATCTAAATCCACCCACAGGGAAATTGTTTTATGACTTAATGGGATATCTTTCAATTAATGAAAAAAACACATTTGTAAAAAGCATCTCTATAGTTTGAGCTAACCTCATAAAAGTCATCCACAATACCAACAGTAAAGCACTACTGGAAGCTTTTTCCTTAACTAATGCAAGCACCAAACTTCACGTCACTCCTTGATTTTTCTATAATAACACTTAACCACAGTCATCAACCAGGGCTCCAGGGTAGGATGAAAGTCAAATATATATACAATGTTTTCCTCAAAATGTCTTTCCAAAATATTCCGCATTCTTATACTTCTTAATCAACCTAAAATCAAAGTATCACCACTGTAGGTCTCCGAAGACACCATACTGCATGACACTTCCACATCTGCGCACTCTCACTTTTTGATGATCTTACTTCAAATAATCCTTTGACAAGCAGAAGAAATTTCACCTCCTCTATCAAGTCTTTCAAAATCCACTTTCATACCTAAAAGCTGACCAACTGCCCCACTGTCAAAATCATGTGCGTGTCTGTCTCCATTACACCAAAAGCTCCTTAATGTCAAGAATTTACTCATCTTTGCTCTTCAGGTCCTTACAAAAGCACCTGGTACCTAATACTTGTGCATGTATACTGAATAAATGAATGCCACCAATAAACTCATACCTGACTCTCAAAGGTGTAAATGATACGTGATTATTCTGTGTTTCTTCCTAATAGTGTGACTAGTAGTCAGTGCTCCCAAACAATACGATGAATCTCACAATTATGTTGAAAAGAAGTCAGGTACAAAACAGTACATTTTGTACAATTTCATTTTTAAAAAGTTCAAGAACAGGGCCTCCCAGGTGGCGCAGCGGTAGAGCGCTGGGTTGCGAAGCTGCCCGCGGCCTCTGCAGCGCCGGTTCAATCCCCGGCTGCTCCCCGGCCACCGGAGGAGGGTCCCACATGGTGCGCAGACCTCTCCTGCCGCCCGCTGCTCCCCTCAGCAGTGTACTTCGGTCCTTCTGCCTGCTCTGCTCCCCACTCTGGCTCTGGTGAATTCTCTCACCCTCCCGCGCTTCTGACTGTACCCAGTGCATGTATAAACAAAACAAACAAGCAAACAAATAAATAAAGAAAAACATGCCTCTATTAAAAAAAAAAAAAAAAAAAGTTCAAGAACAGGCAAAACTAATCTTTTAACAGGTGACAGAGTTGAAAAGTGTTAAGGGGCAGCGCTGGGGTATTATCAGAAAAGAGGAATAGGAGACCCTTTTCAGGTGCTGGAAATGTTCTCTATCTTGACGTGAAGTCACACAGGTACAAACACATGTAAAAATTAATTAAGCAGTGCACTTAAGATTTGTATCCTACTAAATGCATGGAAGTTATATTTTAAAAACCCAATTCCTATTTAGTCCTCAGCTACCCTCCCTGACACACATACAAAAAAAAAAAAAAAAATCAGTGCTCAACACAGGTTTATGGCCGAATGATTAAATATCTTCTGAATAAAAACAATCTATCAACTGTTTTCATTTAAGAGGAGGAAAATCTTGCCAAGCAATTACAATTAAAGTCTTGGGTTGGAGCTAGGCTACAGGCAACACTGACAATTCCTTATACAAGCCCAGAGCTGCAGCATGCTTTTCCTTCCTACAACTGGCTCAAAGCATAATCCCTAGGTGCCATAGGAACCCATTAGCATTTCATGACACTAGGGGTAAAAAGGAAATCCTACAACTGAAAAGTTCTTTCTATTACATTAAGAATCTAGACACATTGGCAATATCATATTGAAACAGTCTATCGCTTTAGCAATTTTCGCTTAATTATTCTGCAATTGTCTACCTACTTGACAAACTCCAAATCATTCATCAAAATCCAACTAAGATGTCAATTCTTCTGGGATGTTCTCCCTAACCTCTTACCCTCTTCAATGTTCCTTTCATAAGCTACTTACTTTGTTTCACTGCAACTTACATAGTGGTCATGTCTATATCGCACTAGACTGGTCACATTTGTCACTTGTTTGAAGTGCATGGCAAGGTACTTCAAAAGCAAGCAAATATCTGTGTAACTGACTACCACTGAACAAATCCCACCACTTAACTGTCCAACCTGAGAGTCCTAAAATAGGTGGTATATTCTAGATAAGGCACAATCTGTACTGAAGGAGTGAAAAAACTATATTCTCCAGGACAATGTTATTTTTAGGATTGCGGTAACCAGTTCCTGCAAAGTAAGAATGAACTCCAGGGTGGCAACCTGGAGACCAGATGACTTAAAAGGCAGATCGTGGGATCTGTCAGGTAGGTTATGCTCCTGAAGACATATGGT